AGCGCCAGACTTTTCATCTCCCAGACAGTCTGCGGTGATGAAGTGAGCGGTTCCGCTCATGGATCTATTATAGGTTCCGCGGGACGTCCAAGTGTCAGTCGTGAGCGCAGCTGAAGATGCGCGGGAGAGTTGACTTTAGCCCGGTCTGACTGTGCGTAAAGGAGCTGCTTAAATGCCGCGACAATAGGTGGTCGTTGAGACGCTTTTTTCACTCATGTCTTTCTTGTGCCACAGTGCTTACACATCGTGACAGTTTTGTCAAATATTAATTATCAGTGTAGTTACAGTTAAGCCAAAATGCTCTCATACTGGGGATTTAAATGACGCAGGGCTTTCAAGCATCTCCGTTCCTCCGCTCGCAATGACCGCGCTGTGTGTGGACTGAACAACGTGCGCACAACTTTTTTTTCATAAATCAAACCGGATCACGTCTGTACCGAACCGAAGACGTTGAACCGAACGGATCACGGATCAGTGATGAACCGTTGCACCTCTAATAGATTGTGTAAATTATATATTGCTTAAATGTCATTATTTGCAACATTATTTTGCATTTATTAAATATCAAGTGGTTCATCTCTTCTCACACATTTGACCATTATATTTAATCACACAAAATTAAAAAAGTAGCACATTTGCTATACATGCTGTCACAAGGTGGGTTAGGGTTAGGGTTAGGGTTAGGGTCCAAAACGAACACAGGAACAAGGAACCAGGAACACAGACAAAGACCGTGTCACTCCGGGATTCGTCCGGAAGTTCAGTTTGATCCATTGATCATACGCAGCAGTAGATCACGTCACGGAATCCGGACGGAAGCGGAAGTAAATATAACAAACTACCTATTCATGCCTAAACTTAACCAGCCATTCCCATAAAATAACCCCAACCCAGCCTTAACCCTAAATTTAACCATCTTACTTAGACACCTAAAACTTAACCAGTCTCCACTTAAGGACTTATTAACTGAACTTCCGGACAAATCCGGTTTCCGGGACGAATCCGGTTTCTGGGACGAATCCGGTTTCCGGGACGAATCCGGTTTCCGGGACGAATCCGGTTTCCGGGACGAATCCGGTTTCCGGAACGAATCCGGTTTCCGGAACGAATCCGGTTTCCGGAACGAATCCGGTTTCCGGGACGAATCCGGTTTCCGGGACGAATCCGAGAGTGACAAATACAATGGACCAGCAACAAGGGGAGAGGATCACAGGGTACATACTATATAGACAGAGACACAGGTGAAACACATCAGGGCGGGGCAAACAATCAAGACAGGGGAACAAGACAGGAACTACAACTAAAACCAAACCACAGAAAATAAAATAAAACCAAAATACAAAAATAAAATCCACACCATGACACATGCACTCTTCACAGTGGTTAAGATACATTCTAGATGTTCCTAGTCTGGAGTAAGTAAGTAATGTTTATTTATATAGCACATTTTACAGACCAAGGTCACCCAAAGCGCTTTACAATGTTCAGAGTTCAGATATTTTTTCCATTCACACGCGGTAATGACGGAAGCGAGACACCGAACACACTGGCGCAAAAGACCCCAACCAACACTATCCATTCACTCATTCATTCAGTACATTCATGAATGTTTTAGTAGTAATCTAAGTAATTAATGTTTATTTATATACCGCCTTTCACAGACCAGAGTCATAAAGCGGTTTACAATTGTTGTTTTTGGGCATTTGTCCACTCACTCCACACAGAGATGGGAGCGGGGTCGCCAGTACAGGAGGCGCATGCCAGACCTATTGTACATGTTTTTAGTGGTAGGGGAAACCGGAGTACCCAGAGGAAAACTACGCAGATATGGGGAGAACATGCAAACTCCACTCAGAAAGGCCCTGTTCAACTGGGATTCGAACCCAGGACCTTCTTGCTGAGAAGCCACAGTGTCAGCCTGGAGGACAAAGAATTCTGTTTGTACCACTTTGCCGCACAGTGGCTGAGTAAATAGTCCTCATGTCTCACAAAAAGAAGGCGGTGAGCTTTTCTGAGTAGCGTTTTCTTGTTTTTTCCTGTGTCTGGGTTACCTCCGGGTGCACCGGTTTCCCCCTCCAACAAAAACATGCAGCAGTGTCAGTACTGTAGGAATGTGCTTAGTGAAAGGACTGGGTGCGTGTGACTTCAGCACAGCACTTTGAGAGAGCAGAAGTAAAACGCATCATTATCATCACTTTATTTGAACATTCATTATGTGTGTTGTAATAAAGAAGGACAGAGCTGTGGGCTGTGGAAGCATACTTGGATTCATACAACTAAACTCTGTTGCTCTCAGTTTGATACTTTGAAAGAAATAACTTGAACGCTCTCTAGAGTAGAATTGGGTACGTACCGTCCAGGCCTCTGCTTCCTGGTTATTATTGGATGTATCGGCAGAACTTTCGACCCTTGCCGCAGTTATTCCCAGAGCCAAAAGTATAAAAAGTCCAACTGGCGCTGTATGGAGGACGGCGGTTTCAGGTTTCTCTGTTTGGACAAAGTAGTTTGCATTGATTGTTGAAAGATGTTTTGCTGGAAGTGTCAAAAGGATTGAATTTATTTAGTGATTTAAGGATAGCCCAATTGAGATAAACTATCTCTTTTTCAAGGGGGGTCCTTTATCACAGAATAAAAATAACAAATAAGATGGCTTACATCAGCAAGAAAACAAAAAATGTAACAAGCGTAACTCAAACATGAATTGTTAACTATATATATATATATATATATATATATATATATATATATATATATATATATAGTACATCATACACACACAACACACACACACACACACACACCACACATACACTGCCACGTATCTCAATCAAAAAACCACGTATTTCAGTCCGAATATCTTCATATACATATATACACATTATGCATACACATACACACATATATGCGTATACATACATACACATATGTATACATACACACACATTGAATAAGCTATAAACATTTGTGAAATTCGAGCCCAGCACCTTGTTTTGTCTGTGTTTATTTTAATCATATCTCTTTATGACTGTTTAATTTAAGGTTGTTGCTGTAAATCATGAGCTTTCACCTCCACCTCTATTCTCTCAGCAACCACTAACTTAATGGGCTTTTTCATTACATCCATAAATCTTTCTTGTGTGGTCCCTCGTCTGTCAGTTCTAACCTGAGCATCTACAAAAATAGTAGTTTGTGCTATGGATTTCTGTCTTTATCCAACACACCTCCCAAATACAATTTCACTATTTTGCTTCCTCCCTCTTGTATTTGTACTCACTTCAAAGGAACATTACATTAAAACACAATGTTGTCGTACATACATTAAAAGAGTACAGACTTATCATGAAAGCGACCCAAATGGTGCGTGTTTAATTCATATTAGATGCAGTAGAGTTGATTCCTCACAGCGGGCTATAGAATTGAATCAGATCGCACAATTACCCTCCCCTCTCCTACAGCTAATGGTATCTGGGATTTCCACACCATTAACTAATGCAGGATTAAGGAGTCTGTTGGCCGTATGACCATAATTGGGGCATGTGATGAGCCAAATGTTATTGATACACTTGGGGATTATTATCACGGACGAGCCTCTTGATGCTGTCCAGAGGCGGGACTGAACATGGGCCGTCAGTGTTCGACATACAGTATGCAGCTAGAATCTTCCTGAAACAGCTTTAGCTCCCTCTGCATTTGACAGAAATAAATATCTGTTCACATCTGAAAAAAATCTGAAAAAAATAAATAAATATTCTGTATCTGTATTTTACTATTTTGATTTGTCTATTGTTTTGTAAAACACTTATTATACAGGGCAATTCTCCTGCATATACTATTTATAGATGGACAATGCTAACCTCCAAGCTCCATGAAGCCCTATAGGTAAAGTGCTCATGGAGGAAGTGTTTCTCAAACTCACTCTGGCTCTCTGGCTCCTCCATCTCAATTGTTTGTGTCTCACTATTTTGGGCTTGGATACAAATTGTTAGCACTCTCTCTGATCCTGGTGCTTATAATTTGATATGGTCTTTATAAATGTATACGTGAGCCATAAGGATCAGATGCATATACATTCACAGGCGAATATGATGGCGTTGTGTTGCTTATGTTCAAATCAGATTTTTCCACATTCGACAAACACCAGTGTCACAGCACATAGCAGTCGGTCTGTCCACCCCTAATATACGGCCTATATAACAGAATTGAATTGCGTTCTCAAAATTAACTTTACACTTAAATATTTCATGTTTAGGGTCCAATGGAGAGAGGTCAATGGTCCAACACTGTGCTCATATAATGTTATTGCTTGACGCAGTTTATTCACAATTTCAAACACAGCCAAATAGTTTTCTGTAAGTCGCTGCATGTTGCTCTTAAAGATCTGAGAACTTTGTTGAGTCACAAACACATTGATTTGGTACAACTTGTAGAGAGAGGACAATCACACCGGGAGGCAGTTCTGGAGGCTGCTGCTGCCACTGCTGCTGCGACTGCTGCATTGAGCCACTCAGGCTAATTGATCCTCTGTGACAGGAGCCCCGATGGGACAGTGGTGGTCTCTGTTAAAAGGGTCAGGACATTCAAAGTGAAGCGTGATGTTTGTGAAGTGACAAAGCCAGGTCCAGGGCTGCGTTCTCTCAAGGGGCAACGATAAAAAGGAAGACAAAGAACAGAACCGACTTCAAAAGAACAGGACTGAACATATGCGTCAAACTAATTTCATTCTCTGACATGATTGTACTTGGAAATAACATTAAGGATGAACTGCAATATTTATTAGATATAACCGTTCCATCGCTCCATCATTCCAGAGGGTTGTCAAGAGTATCTCAAGTCAGATCCCAAACAACTGTAAAACTCGTATCAAAACATAAATAATGCATTTGGCACGGAAGCTTTTACCAGGTCGCATAGAGGTGGCCTTCAGTCATGTTCCGGTGACATCGCTTGGCAAAGATATTGATTTATTCATGCTAATTTGCAAATTCCCGCTCCTTTTGCAGGACCTGTCCACGCTACAATGCGATGTGTGCATCTTGGTGTTCTCGGTCACTGACAGACGGAGCTTTCACCACACCGCCCGGCTCCGCCTCCTGCTGCGGGAGTCCCAACCCAACACACCAATCATCCTCGTGGGCAACAAGAGCGACCTGGTGCGCTCTCGGGAAATCAGCACGGAGGGTAGGTAGAGCTGTCCCAGGTGTAATGTGCTCAGGATACTGCCAGCGAGGGACCACACAGCACTGCACTACAACCACTGGAGTATGAAAACATTAATTATTCATGGGCCATTAATTAAAGCTGGGGTAACAAACTTTCAAACGACGATAAAAAAAAAAAATCAATGTGATACGATCCTTGTAACCAGTTCTTCACTCTAGAAACAGTTTGGTTCATTCTATCACTATAGTTTTGACATGCATTTAACTGACACAGTGGCTAAGTGGATAGCACTCTTGCCTATCAACTAGAAAGCCCAGTCAGAACAGAGATTGCATGTTCTGCATAAGTTTCCTCCAGGAGCAGTGGGTGCTGGTGGGGTGCCCGTCCCCAGAAGATGCTCGGGTTGGTCGGACTCCAGTTGCTGGAGGAATTTACAACATGTTCTTTGTAGGAAGTATTTTTACCTTTACATACTGGGAGCTGGTTGGCTGAATGAGGGCTGGTACTCTCCTGATGATCTCAAGATTTGAGGGGCCAAAAATGTGAACGTGAAAACAAATTAATTTAGGAACTATATACATGAGCCAAATATTATAAGTGCAGTATTAGAATGAATGTATTCGTAGCAATTAGCGATAATTTAACTGGATTTTTACAGGGAGATCATGAAAACTCGGTAGCACAACACATTTAAAAATGTTTTAAAAATGGATCTATAATGGCTGCTTTGGACTTTGGCTGCATATGTCCACAGTTCTCTGTACGATGTCCAAAAATGTGATCTTTAATATACTGCGAGCTGATTGGCTGAGTGAGGGCTGGTACTCTCCTTTTCAATGAAAAGCTGATTTAAATATGTGAGGGGCCAAAAATGTGAACATGAAAACAAGTGCAAGTGATAGAATGAATATAGGAACTACTTGCATGGGTTGTTTTACATAGTTATTTTTTTGAGGTTTCAAAGTTAGGTACCAGCACAACAGCGGTATATTAATGCACTATTAGCATATTTATATTAGTAGGTAATATAACCAGATTAAGGCTGCATTTCTGAAGCATTCATCAATATTGGTTTATTAACATGGCCCCAACGTAATTATCTGAATAAATCAAATGCTAATGCAGCAGAAAGCGTGCTTCCAGCTGTGGCTTGTGATTACTCATGTGTCGTGTTGTGCGTTGTCTCGTGCGTCTCGTGTGTGCTATAAGTCTTCCTCTTGGCCCACATGTATCCATTAGGAGGCCCCGGGGAGAATGTATGTTTGATCAGTGAAATCAATTTCTGTGTTTACATTATCCAGGGATAAATGCTCAGACGGGCTCCTCCTTATGGGCAAAGTGCTGTCTCATTACTCACCCCATAAATCACTGTAAACTGCCAAGAAAACACGCTCGCCCCAGAGACTTCTCAGTAACTTTGATTATTATAAGTGATTCAAATTACAACTTTGACAGTGTACAAAAACAAACAAATTGTATTAATTGTGTTGTGCTGGCGCTTATACGAGTTGATCCTCAGCCATGTCATGGGACTGTCTGTGTTTGTGCAAGAACAACTTGAAAGTTTGCTTTGAATTAACAAGAGATTATAATTAGATTGTTAAAAATGTTTTGGCTTACTATTTGGTTGTTGGTTGTTGTTGAGGCAGTGGGGCCCCTGTTGTAGAAGTGTGATGTTCTTTCACTTCACGTGGGATTTCTGTGCTTGTTTAATAAGTTGCATATTTTTTGGTTTCATTATATTCCAACTCCCAAGTCATGTCAGTTTCGATCTCAGGATGGACATTTATTATTAGCTAACTATCAATGGAAATATGCTAACTATCAATGGAAAAGTGATAATATCGGTTAGTTTATCTCTTGATCCAAACACACATTCAAGCCCTTTCACCTGTAGACCCACAGAAACAGGCCGGACTAAATACTGCCAATTTTGCATTCAGGTCAGGTTTTAGCGTCCTATTCTTTGAGCCACTTCAATTGATTCACACAGAGCTGGCCAAATATTATAAGTGCAGTGAGCCCCTATTTGAGTCAGTTTATTCACAGCCAAAAAATCCCCAATGGTCAGTTTGCTGAAAAAAATAACTGGACTTTTACGGGGAGTTCGTGAAAGCTCGGCAGCACGACACATGAAGGGGTTTTAAAAATGGGTCTATAATGGCTGGTTTTTAGACTTTGGCAGCATATGTCCACTGTTCTCTGTCCAAACCCCTTTACTGCATGGCCTCCTCCAACCGAGGCACATCTTTTGATAGTGCAGCCGAAACCTCAAGCTCCTATCTCATCCACTCAAGGTGCTCTGGAGGCCTTGTGTGTCTCGGATTATCTTGCTTTTACAGGTCGATCATGCTGCTCTGACAACCATTATATGTTTGTAGTCAGCACAGGACAATATAGCAGACGTCTCCTGTGTACGTCTTCACACAGACAGAAACACAGGCTGATCTATCGCTCTTCTGTCAGGGATGGCAAGGTGGGGTTGACAGTGAAGGGAGAAAAGTGTTGAGGGACATAGACAGGCCAGATGAGTGGTCTGTGTGAAGTGGATAAATCGGGCTGACACGTGTTAATCCGTTACAAGAAAGCTTGGATTACAATTCGAATTTGCATTACTTCCTAAAATGCCTGAATGTGCTGTTGCATTTTATTACTCTTATGTGTAATATATATTTATTTGTTTTGTTTGTATGGATGGATGGATGTGTTTCTGCTGCTACTCGACACCTACATTTCCTCTACGGGGATCACTAAAGTGTCTATGAAATGAATGAATGTTTATTTTTGGTCAGTTGTTTGATTACCAGCAGAGGTGTGGACTCGAGTCATGTGACTTGGACTCGAGTCAGACTCGAGTCATGATTTTGATGACTTTAGACTCGACTTGACCAAATGTAAAAAGACTTGCAACTCGACTTGGACTTTAACATCAATGACTCTGACTTTCACTTGGACTTGCGCCAATTGACTTGCAAAGACTTGCGTAACCCGGGCCATTTTTACCTTTCTCCGCATCTCTCTTTCTATCTATGCCGTCTCTGAAGAAACAAAGCCTCGCGGTAGTTGTAGCGCTCGCGAGAGAGTTTGAACGTGAGTTCCCCGCAGTTCGCGCAGCAACACTTCCCTAAACAAGCGCACTGCATTCACCGGTGGGTGTGTTGTCTAGGGGAGCTGGAAATGAGCGAGCTGCAGGTATTTATCGCGACCTAACGTCATATTTTGTTCTACAAACCGTAATTGATATGCTTTCACTACAGGCGCCTCATACAATTGAATCGACGCAGTTGTCACACTGTGTGCCGTGTTTTAAAGAGGAACTGGTGAGTCAAACTAACGCTAGCCTGCGCTGCTCTGTTGGCTATTTCTTATATTTTTCTGTGTGGGCGCCGAGGCCTATTATTATGAGTATGTTTTTGCTGTGCTCCTCCTGCTAAAGTTTGCATACATTAGATAGTTGTTTTGATTATGTGCACTAAGCTAGATTAATATTTGCACTATTGTTTATGGTGCATTGATATGAGAATCAGTACTTTGACTGATTGAATTAATTTATATGAGACATTTTATTATGTAATGATATATTGGTAATTATGAGATATTACTAATGCTGGCCCAGTTCATACAGGCCAGGTTCCTTCCCCTCCATTGGTCCCTTCAGTCCTTTGGAACAATAACCACTACGGACATTAAACTGATTATATAGATACAGGTCCTAGCCCAATACTCATATTCATATATGCTGCACTTGCTACTTCCCATTAAAAACCCCAAAGATAAAAAGTATGTTGACATGGACTGCTCTGATTTTATGTGTGGTCTGTGCATGTGTAACTGAGCCTGCATCTGGCACAACATCCAATTAGATCACGTAGATAGTTTTGATTTACCAGCAGCCAACGACATGGAACAAACTGTAAGTCCATGGGTCAGAGACCAACGAGAATGCACCAGCAAAACGATTCCTAACATTATTTTGTTTGCCTACAAAAGTACGTGGAGACCAACAAGAAACAAATCGCGGTCAAAAAGACTCGAGAGGACTCGAAAGTCAAACCGTAGGACTTGGGACTGACTTGAGATTTGTTGGCCTTTGACTTGGACTCGACTCGGGACTTGCCTGTCTTGACTCGTGACTTGACTCGGGACTTGAGGGCAATGAATTGAGACTGACTTGTGACTTGCTAAACAATGACTTTGTCCCACCTCTGATTACCAGTGTTGGGTGTAACGCGTTACTAAGTAACGCGTTACTGTAACGAAATTACAATTTGAGTAACGTAGTAGTGTAACGCGTTATTATGAAAATACGTTTCATTATATTACAGTTACTACCTAAATACTTCGTTACCGGCGGCACCGGCCTCGGGAAAGCAGGGGAGAACTGCACTACCGCTCCATGCGTGCCTGCGTGCTTACGTCACGCTGCGCACATGAGCGAGATTGTTTGTAAAGCAACATGGCAGAGTCAGAGGAGAAGAGTTCTTTTTACCGGTGGAGATATGCACACCATTTCAACTACATCAGTCAAAAAGATAAAAACGTTGTCGTGGAGTGCAAGCTTTGCGCGGGCAGCAAGCGATTGTCCACCGCAGCCAACTCATCCTCGAACCTTTTAAAACACTTGCAGCGTCAACACTCAACTGTTAAGCTAGTCGCTAAAGAGCGTCGCAGCGAAGCCGCCGCCGCCTCCTCCTCCTCCTCCTCCTCCTCCTCCTCCTCCTCCTCCTCCGACAGCACAACACCAACACGATATAATAAGCAAGCTCGACTTGAATTACGCTGTCAGGTAACCTCAAAGACTGAAATAAATAGACTTGTAGCGGCGTACGTTGTAGAAGAGATGCTGCCCATTTCTACTGTAGAGTCGCCGTCTTGTTTAAATAGTTTTATTTTATTATTTAAAAATGTTTTTTTTGCACTACCAGCCAGTAGTCTTGATGACTAAACTGCCTTAATTTAATTGTCCTGGCTGCTATAGTAATTTACTTTCGTTAATGTTATGCCATTTGAGCCAGTTT